GCACGTTGTTTTTTATGTTTTCTGGGGACGCTCCATAGGCGTAATGAATTTGTACTGTACAAACACTTACCCATCACACAAAAATCTCTGCATATGCTTACATTTTTAATTAAATATTGTTTGTAAGAATTTTAATTATGAGGACTCAAGAAATATCCTCATAAATACATTTACGTTGTTATATCAGTGTAATACCCATGTCATTAAAAAATGTGCGTCCTGATAAGTCATATAAAAAAGAACATACATACATAAACATTTCGAGCTAAAGAGAGACTTATCTCTATTTTAAATAATATGGTAATAAAATATATGACATAATCGTAACGTTACTGAAGCAAAATTATACATTTAAACATGTATTCAACATTTATTTAAGCTTATTGAACTTATTAAACACACTATTCTCTTCATTTAAAGAAGATAGTAGCAAATAAAACTGTAATTATATATAACATGCTGTATAAAATAAACATTTAATATAATTTTAGGTCACAATAAATATGAAAATTGATGCCTTAAATTTTTAGAGTGCTAAGAGACTTTACGCAACGATGTCCAAACATGGATGAGTGATTTACAAAATAAATAAATAAAATGTTTAACTTGAATCATAACCAAAACCTCACAGGTCCTCCCCGGGGTAATCCCCAATGTGAAACTGATGGACCCTCACAGAGAAGGGTTGGTGAGGGAGGAGATAGACCAGATGATCTGAGATGTTATTCTGTTAACCTTTTTTTCCGAACCGAATGTTATGGCTGTGTTAATAATGATTTCAAAGCCTAATCTTAAGACTTTAAATAAACATTTGGTAGAATCCTGTGTTTTTTGCTTACATTTCCTGTAGTTTGGTAGGATACTGTGTTTTTTTTGCTTACATTTCAACTAAAGTATAATTTATTCCACATCAATCACTTCAGCATCTTTAAAAGTTTCTTATTTTAAGTATCATCTTCAATGTTTTATTCTCCTCGCACAATCTTTCTGTATGTTTAAAAATAAAACTACAAATATTTCTCTTGTTTTAAACGGATGCAAAGGAGCCTCTTTGTTTGTCACAGCGCAAACGTGACTCACCCATGTCACCTCAAACAACGTCTCAAATATTTAGATGAAGATAATGTATCTTTTAGAAGAATATTTTCAGAGAAAAACCCTCGATTCTATTCAGTCATTAAAGATGGTTCGGGCAGATAGGTTTATGCCTCTGTGGACCCACGCATTGAATGTTTCACATATGGATATTGATTTAGCTGATGCTTGTATGTAATTCGAGAACTTTGACCTTTACTACCATTAGGCTATGTTATGCTTCATTTAAAAAAGTTTGTATAAACACAAAATGTGTTTTCACATATGGAACAAATCTAGCCGTGAAATCGTCATTATTTGGCTTTTGCTATGGTCGTAAACCTTACACATACCTCTGATATTTTCAGACACAAAACAGAAGAGTCTTATTATTTTACTTCCTTTTATGTAAAGCACTCTGAATTGCCATTGTGTATGAAACGTTCTATATAAATAAACATGCCCTACCATGCCTAACAGTCCTGGTCATCCTAAATACTGGTCACGCTCAATGAAATGAAGACATGCGGAGGTAGAGAACAGAACAAACATACCGCTTTGGGTCATGAAGTACCCTGTCTAACACAACACACATTCTCCAGAATGGGGTAATGATGGGTTCATTATTTAATGATGAAGACAGACTGAATATTCAGATACCAGATGAGACTGTTTGACTTTTTCTTAAGACAATTGTTTGATTTCAAGAACACACAACCAAATCCTAATGCTATTTCATGAAATAACACAACAACGACTGATCCGTTACAACATGTACATGTCAATTCTGTTTTATCATAGGTATATCTTATTATTCTTGAATATAATTGTTTAGTCTAAATATGTTAACAATTCTTTTTTTTCTTTTTTTTTTCTTCACAAAGATGTTAAATTTAACATGTGTAACTAATACCTCATTCAAACGCTACCGACTTCTAGGTCAGGGAACTACAAATCCCAACATAAACCTCAGACTTCAGACATGGCCGCTGGGGGCAATACCCCAGAATACTCATACATGGCAGCGGTCTAAAACGTTGGACTTCTAAATATACGCATGCTCAGATACCCTATATAAAAAGACTCACATCTCCGCACTATTTGTGAAGTATACGGTCCATCCCTGTCGCGATGTTACAATTTAGCGATGTTAGTGATGCAAAGTCCGATTAATTTTCACAAACCGATTCTTTCGGGGAGTTTGGATCAATGAACCGCTTCAAAGAACCGATTCGTCGGTTCCTTTAGTCATCATGCAATGATGTCAGTATACATTTCTTTTCTAACAACTCACTGTCATGTTATATCAATGAAACATTCAAATAACGTTATCTGTGTGAACGCATATTGCTGATTATTGTCTTTCATTAATTTTAGTTGATGTTTATGGTCGCATTTTCATGCATTGATCCTTCATGTTGGATATGAGTCACGCAATGATGTCAGTATACATTTCTTTTCTAACAACTCACTGTCATGTTATATCAATGAAACATTCAAATAATGTTATCTGTGTGAACGTATATTGCTGATTATTGTCTTTCGTTCATTTTAGTTGATGTTTATGGTCGCATTTTCATGCATTGATCCTTCATGTTGGATATGAGTCACGACTGACCAATTGTGACTAGCCTACACATAAAAAACGTGGATATGTTCTACATGTCTAAAGTATAAGTCTATAGAAAGAATAAAGCATCCTAATAAACTCATTGATTTAGCTTAACAACTTTAAAATATAATCTGCATGCACGATAAACCATACACTCTTAAAATTGATAATACACAAAATATGTGTATGTAATGTGGGGTTTTGTGTTTGGGTGTTGTTTCATGTTCATGTTTTCATGTCTTTTATTTTGTAATTGTTTCATGCTGTTTGTGTCATGCTTCCCTTGCCCTCATGTATCTCTGCCTTGTGTATGTGTCATGTTCTGATTGGTAGT